TTTTCAAAATAATCAGTGCCACCCTTTGCCACTTGTTGTTGTTGTTAAGTGCTGTCGAGTCGGTTCCGACCCATAGCGACCCTGTACAGGGTTTCAGAGGGTGTAAATCTTTACGGGAGTAGAAAGTCTCATCTTTCTCCTGTGGAGCAGCTGGTAGTTTCGAACCGCTGACCTTAAGGCTCGCAGCTCGATTCGTAACCACTACGCTACCAGAGCTCCTTAGTCATTTATTTCTAAATCACAATGACCTTATAGCACAGAGTGGAATGTGCCATAGAGTTCCCAAGGCTGGAATCATTTGAATTACGGCACTGGCGAAGAATGCTACTGAAAGTCCCATGGACTGTCAGAAGAAGCAACAAATCTGTCTTGGAAGATGTACAGCCAGAATGCTCCTTTGAAGTGAGGATGGTGAGACTTCACCTCTTGTACTCTGGACATGTTGTCAGGAGGCAACAGTCCCTGGAGAAGGACAACGTGCTTGGAAAAGTGGAGGATCCGTGAAAAAGAAGACACCCCACCCCTACTGCCACTGCCACCAAGATGGGTTGACAAAGACGCAGTAACAATAAGCTCAAATATAGCAACAATTGTGAAGATCGTGGTTTGTTCTGTTGTGCATAGGGTCGCGATGAGTCGGCACCTAACAAGGACAATCATTATGGAAGCAGACTGTCTACCTTTCTACTGTGGAGTGCCTGCTGGGTTTGAACCACTGACCTTTTGGCTAGCAGCTGAGTGCTTTTACCATAGGGGAACCCAGACATTGTAAGACTTTCCATACTTCTTCTAAAGAATCAGTGAAGAGGGATAGAAATGAAAACAGACGAGCCATGAATGAGTAGTTGTTGAAGCCAACTAATGGAAACACAGAACTCACTACACTATTCTGGGAAAGTCAAACAAAATAAAAGCATCCATGGAGATTGTATTGTGTGGCAGGGTTGAGAACCACTGGCTTATAGTTCCTAAACTAGATCATTCTGGTGATAAATGATTGAGATTTCAGTTTGAACGTTTGTCTTAATGAATGAACAAGTATGCACAGATGAAAAACATCAAATTTATTTTCCAAAACAGAAGGGAAAAAAGTATGCATTTGAATTCGTTTTGCAATTTATGTTAACAGTGAAAACACTTGTTCCATCTCTTATTTGTCTCTAACACCCAACCAACCGTGGCATCCAAAAGAAGAGAAGGAAGCTTCTTGACCCTTGGCTTGCAGAATTTGAAATTTGGCAAAAGAGCATGTGAAATGTATACAATGAGTGAAATTCTCCTGTGTCAAAGCTAAGTCATGTTAACGATTGCTTCATACAATTGAAAAATACATAAAGGGCTTCCTACAGTTCGTTTATTCAAAACTTCTGGAATACTTCTTTGTAGTTTGAAGTCTTACTACAAGTTTAATCTATTTTGAAGTAAAGTACAGAGTCTGGAAAAGTGAACTTCCCTTCAGTTTCAAATGAACCAATAATCTAAGTCTAAAAATATAATCAAAGGTGGCATCTTTTCTCTTTAGAAACATTAACTGCCCAAATAAACTGCCCAAATGAATTTATTGGTTTCAAAGATACTTGCGAGCAAACTTGACAAGGAAAAATTAAATCACCCTATTTTTGCCTTAGTAATAAAAGTTTATAAAAAGCCAACTTCTTAGGTCTTTGGGTAGGGGGAGCCACGTGAGTGCTCATGGCTATCGATAACGGTTAGATTGGATCGGAGCTGCCCTCAGAAGACTGGGAGCCCTGCAAAGATGTGCTTACCTGCTGACTAGTCCCACTCAGGCTTACCAGATGGCTATTGATGGCATGAAGTTCTTGGATCACCACGCTGAGATCTGCATGTAAGTTGACTATGGCATTTCTTACCTCTCCTAAAAGAACATTAGTGGAATTATTTGATTCCGGCTCCCTAGGCAAGCCTCTTGTTTGAAAATTAGCACCAGACACTGAGGTGAAGTGCTCTACGTTTTGGATGGAAAAATCTACCCAATTAGCATTAGAGATGTCGCTGGTCTCATTTTTTGTCGAATCAGAACTATCTGGAAGAATCTCAGGTAGATTGAGGTTGTCATTTGCTTCTTCATCAGAAGACAGTGGATCCCTAGGAGCAAAGGCGTGGTGAATCCAGGCTGTCTTATCTTTATCTTTAAAGGAGGCTGAAGAAGCCGGTTGATGGGATAAAGCCCAGAAGGAAGGTCCAGTCAGAATTGGGGGTAAGAGCTGAACTGACTTCTCGGGAGAGGTGGAATCAGGAGGTGACACAGATAAAGTAGAAAAGGAGGATGTTCCCTCAGAGACGGTTGAAACTAAAATATACAAATGAGAGAGAAAAATTATGCAAGGAATAGCTGAAATAACTCTATACTGTAAAAGCCTAGCTGGAAGGTCTCAACATAAATAAACTACTTAGAATGTTAAATATTCATAATAATCCTAAATAAATCCAAAGCAGGTAACTGAAAAACTCACTACATGTATTATACTTGAATAAAACCAGAGAAATTAAACTAAAATAGAATGGGCCATATTCATCTCGATTCCAAACCCTGCCCAATCTATTTCTCTATTCAACTTATCAGAGAGAGCAGGAAAGTAAAGAAAAGTAAATCCTATTCTAAGTTAGAATATCTGAGAAGCCTGTAACTTTGGTTCCTTTACCTTTTTTTTTTTTTCTATAGAGAACATTATGGCAAAATAAAATACCAACTAAAAGTGCTCAAAAGTGAGTGAGATTAATATTTTTCACTCAATGGTCAAATATAATAAAGACTGAAATCCAGCCCATCTATATAGCGCATGCACATAGTGAACGTTCTCACCAACAAACTCAATCAAAGAACAAGCCTTCGAAACCTATTTTACATAAGATTAAAATTTTGATAAAAATGTATTTCCTTTTAGGAAAAATTGTATTAGGACCTTTATCACATGTTTTATTCTAACAATATTTCCCAAACTATGTTGGAGGAACACTATGTTCCTTTAGGTACCGAACGATGTTTTGTGAAGACAGTTTCATCAGCAAATGTTACGTTGAGTCAGTTCTCATAGTGGCCCCATGCCCAAGAGCAGGAAGCACCGCCTGACCCTGCACCGTCCTCAAGATCATTTCTGTGTGTGAGCCCTTTGCTGCAGTACTGTGTGAAACAGCTCGGCCTCCTTTCCATTGACCCTCTAATTGGCCAGCATGATGACTGGGTAATCACAGATTGTCATTCCCAGTCGAAGAGAAGCAATTTCTACCAGAACATGAAAAGTTCCAAGATGCCTAAGGTAATGTGATTAGGTGTTTTCTAGATTTTTTTTGACCACAGAATGTTTTTACTTCTTCTTGGAATATCTATTTGTATTCCTTTATGTTTGACTGCCTCATCTTTCTCCTGTGGAACAGCGGCAGATTTTGAGCCGCTGACCTTCTAGTTAGCAGCCCAATGCTTAATTCACTGTGCCACCAGGGTTCTTTATTTATGAAGTGGTTGCTGGTTCTGACTCAGTGATCCAGTATCAGGTGGTGGCACATACTAGGGAAATCTGGTTCTAAAGTCGTTGTAACTAAATCCGCACTTGCTAGTAAACTTTTTTTTTTTTTTTAACTTATTCATTATTAAGTCGTGTTGTTGTTGTTGTTGCTACGTGCTGTTGAGCCAGGTCTGACTCATAACAACCCTGTATAGGGTTTCAGAGGCTGTAAATCTTTATGAGAACAGAAAGTCTTGTTTTTCTCCCTTGGAGCAGGTGGTGGATTCGAACTGCTGGCCTTGTGGTGAGCAGCCCAACATGTAACCCATTATACCACCAGGGCTCCTTATTTTATTGTTGTTGTTGTTAAGTGCCTTTGAGTCAGTTCTGACTCATAGCAACCGGGGAGCGGCTGGTGAGCTTGAACCACTGAACTTCTGCTTCAAACTGACTTTGCAGGAGCGGGAAAAGTGACGCTTACCACTCCGCATAGATGACTTACTCTTCCTATAGGATTTGCTTTGGTTTTATATGTGCATGTCCCTTCTAAACTTGGACTTTCTGTAGAATAGATGGTCATAAGCAGGGGCTGCTCTCTGTTTTCTGCTCCGAAACTCTGCCTAGCCTATCTGCAGGTGTCAGGAACAGTTCCCACTGCAATACTCCTGTGGAGTGCAATGAGTGTTCTCAGCGGCAGCAGCAGGACACGAAGGACAAGGGAAGGAGGAACGGCACCAGCACATGGTCAAGACAAGCCAACCACACTTAAGAATCTAGACCCGGCCCCTCCAGACATTCTACCCTTGGACTAAAATACAGTATTAATAGTAGTGGTTATCTTGATTATTTTATGAAACCTCATCATATCTGTGTCCTGACCGACACAGCTACACTCTGAACTCGGTGTGCTCTAGGTTTGGGGCACAGTTTCATCGGGCATGTCCCTTCCACCATCCTTCAGTCCTGGCTCTCCTGTTTTCTATATTCATGTCTTCCTCTTTCTTGGTTTACTCTCATTTTGGTATAGCATATTTTCAAGTAGTTTGCTGAAAAAGGATGATGAGAAATAAAATTTCGGAGAGTTTGCATATCTGAAACTGTCCATATTCTGTTTTTATGCTTAATGATAGTTTGGCTAGATACAGAATTCTAGGCTGGAAATCTCTTTTTTTCCAGAATTTTGAAGGCAGCATTTCACTGACTTCTTGATTCTAGTATTGCTATTCAGAAGTCAGAAATAATTCTAATTTTCAGTCATTGTATATAGCCTATTTTATTTCTCAAGTGTTATAGAATCTCCTGTTCTCAGTGTTCTGAAACTTCTCAATGATGTGTCCTGAAGTGGGATTATTTTCATTCGTTGTAGCGAACTCAAAGTGAGCATTTCAATCTGGCAACGTATTTCCTTCAGTTTTAGGAAAAAATTCTTGTGCGACTTAATCAATGATTTTCTCCTCTGTGTTTTCTATATTCTCTGTTTCTGGAACTCTTCTTGTTCCTATATCGGACATCCTGGACTAGTCCTCTAATTTTTCTCTCCTATTTTCCACATCTTTGTCTTTTTTCTCTACTTCTTGGAGATTGTGTCAACTTTAGCTTCCAATACTTAATTAACTTCCAATACCTGCTTACATTTTTATTTCTGCTATTACATTTTTGGAGTCTTGGTATGGCACTGTAGGATAAGCTCTGGACTGCTAACCTCAGGTCAGCAGTTCAAATCCACCAGCCACTCTTCAGAAACATGATCCAGGGTCACTGTGAGTTGGAAGTAATTCAAAGGCACTTAACAACAACAGCTGGTGGCACAGTAGGTTAACCTAACTGCAAGGTCATTAAAAAGATAGTAATGTTCGATATTTATTAAGTGAACTAAAAGCAGTTCAGTAAAGAAGGAATAGAAGGTGCATCTAAAAAAGGGATAGAAGTAGAAATGGAAAATTAAGCCAGGACAGATGATGAGCTATAGGTGCTGGTTAAAAAGTTCAGGCTTTGTTTTGAAGACAATGCAAATTACTAAAGGTTTTGCACCTGTGGAATGACCTTACAAAAATGACTTTTGCAGGATTGTGGAGGATAGTTTTGGAGGAGGTGGAACTGGAGGCAGGGAGTCACTTAAAAGGTTGTTTTAGAAAGTTAGAATGAGGTGCAGGGAGTATTCCAGGATTCCCAAATGGAGCCTGGTCTGGGAGCCATAGACTGAAATCCAGAATCCAGAAAGAGAGTCCCCTCCTTCTGGGAATCTGGAAGGAGAAGGAGAAGAGAGGAGGTATCAGATGTAAGGGAAGGGTTTTCCTGTTAATATTTATTCTTTTTAATAATTAAGATGTATTGGCAGGAGAGGGAAGGAGAGTCATTGTTTGGGAAGCCTTGAGTCTGCTAATGAGGATGGAAAATAAGGCGACAGGCGCTGGTGACGGTTGCATAGCATGCTGAATGTCACCAGTGCCACTGAGCTGTACATCTGAAAAATGGTGAGTTGGAAAATGTTGTGTTATATTTTTAACAAAATTTAAAAAAGAAAAAAGGTGTATTTAATCCAGATGTGCCACCCACTCTATGTAAGGCCTCGATTTCTTACTGACTGATATCATCCTCTGAGATTGAGCAATTGAGATCGGCAGAGGTACCTTGAGGAGAAAGGTAAAGACATCCTCACACACTATTGACACTGTGCCAATTCATCTCATTGGGGGGTTCCCTCTTTTTCTCTGACCCTCCACTTTACCAAGCATGATAGCTTTCTCCAGGGACTGGTCCTTCCTGATAATATGTCCAAAGTGTGAGAGACCAAGTCTGGCCATCTTGGCTTCTAAGAAGCATTCTGGTTGCACTTCTTCCAACACAGATCTGTTTGTTCTGGCAGTCCATGGTACCTTTACTATTCTCCTCCAACACCATGACTTAAATGCATCAGTTCTTCTGCAGTCTTCCTTAATCGCTGTCCAACTTTCACATGTGTATGAGGCTACTGAAAATACCATGGCTTGGGTCAGGCGCACCTTTAGTCCTTAAGCTTTACATCTTTGCAGTAATTTGTAGTCGTCCTAGTTTGCAGGCCGCCCTACTTTTCTCCAGTAAAGCTGAGCAGCCTGGCAATGGGAATAAAAAGGGTGGATCTTTACACTGATACAAGATTAGGACACGGATTGGGCAAACTACAGCCTGTGAGTGATCCAGCCTAGTATTTTCATAAATAAAGTTTTATTGGCACACAACCCCACCAACGTGCTTTGTTTTGATGCATTGTCTGTGGCTGCTTTCTTGCTATCATGACAGGGTTGAGTAGTTGCAACAGCAGCTAAATGACCCATAAAGCCTAAAATAATTATTGTTTGGCCCTTTATAGGAAAACACTTGATAACCTTGACTAGGCAGAAACCAAGGCAGCAAGAAGGTAGAGGTGGTGGCATGAAAGTGGTTGAAGTGATAGACAAGAAAGGAGGCAGAGCCAGGAGGACATTCAAAAAGCACATGAAAAACTAGAATGAAAAGATAATGGAATTTTCCATGAACTTGTGGAAGCCCCCGTGTGTGTGTGTGTGTGTGTGTGTGTGTTACTGGACCTACTGTTTCAATGAGGCTGAAATGTGGCTGTATTAGCAGTAATGGGAGTGATCAAGAAGAGGAGACTAGACACAAGACCTCAGACTAGGGCAGTCCTGAGGGATGCATGTTCTAGGGGGACCTAGAGGAGCGGGTCAAGGCCACTGTGGTTATGGAATTCAAGAAGCAATGAAGTTAGAACAGATCTCTCCAGGGACATCAGGGTCACTCTGGATGAGAGAGGACTGAGAAGACAGTGAGCCGAGTGCCCACATCTTCATTACTTAGCTATTTTCTGGTG